CATCAGGAAATACCCACAGAGACCTATGCTGGCACTGTGAAGTTCTGTTAAACAGCTGTGTGTTTTAATTGATTTGTATTATTTAAAATACGAACAGTTAAAAGTCAGTTATCGGATGTTGTGTGTAAGAGATGCCTGAAGGCTCCAGGGAGACTGAGCTCCGAAGAAAGCCAATCACTGGAACTTCACGCGGGCACTTGAGATTATTACTAGAGGAAGCACAATTAAATCATCAGTTTATCAGCCATCATTACAAACCACCAGGCAACACACCAAGCTTCATGATTTAAGAATCCTTCACCAGGGACTTCCGGCATCATCGAGTCAAAAGCAATGCAATCTATTCACCCAAAGGTGCCTGAAGAGTTGTTGTTGTTTTCTGTGTGCTGTGATTTTTTTAACTTTGAACCCTGAAAAACTTATCATGGAAAGAAAATGAAACTCAGTGAAATTAGCTATCCTGTTTTTGCATGCAAAGTCTCCAAAATGCAGTCAGTATGCCTGCAAGATGCACAGGGAAAGCGCCCAGGGTCCTCCCGTCTCACTCTCACCCGCGCTCAGCCTGCTTCCGCACGGTCCTTGCACGGTGCCGTCCCCGAGCTGCTCCTCACATTCGCCTTTCCTAGCTCACATCCATGGCTTCAGAAAGCAAAGCGCCTCAAAGTCCTGGTAAACTCCAAGGCACTTGTAGGAAAATAGATGCACTTGGAGACCACAATGTTAAGAAATAAAGCAGACGCACAAGCTTAAATACTGCATAGTTTCTCTTATATGGGAGACCCAACGTATAAATAAAGAGCAAAATAAAAGACAGAGACTAGGAAGTAGGTAGACAGATGTTGCTCAGACAGGGAGGGGATCAGGAGATGGGAGGAGGGAAAAGGGAGGGAGGGAAAGAGGAGAAAAAGGGAATAAAGATATGCGGGGTACAGGGAGCAACTCACAGAAGGAAACATTGTATACTGCAAACAAATACTAGTGAGAAAGATGCAGTGCCCTGAACATCAAGGTAACCGCTACAAGGGATTCAAATGCATAGAAAACTATGTCCATGAGTTCATAAAACTCAGGAAACAAACTGACCACCTCGGAGGCTGACAGAAAACAGATTCATTATCTGGAAAGCTGAGAACATAAAGAGCAGAGCCCAGCACTGGGCTGACTCCTACACAAAGCGCATCTCAGGTAGTGGACTGGTGGGAGGAACTTTGTCAGCACACAAGTAACCCAACTAATAAACAATAAATGATACAACTGAAACAGCACTATTTTGCACACTTTAATGAAATAATGGGTGTAGGCAATAATTATTGATGGACGCTAGCATCAAAAGCAGAGTGACAACCAAACATGACACGCTTCCTTATGGAAGCAGAAACACCTATGCAGTATTTTTGCCAAAAAAAAAAAAAAAAAAAAAAATCTAACCAGAACATGCCCAGGATTCATGGTCTAACTACCCAGTTTATAAGGCATACAGGAAGGATCATACCAAACAACACCTTGGACTGCCACAGCCACGCCTCTGCCCAGCACCTAGTCCAACTTAGTCATTTCAAACACCTTATCAAACGAAGCCAGACACCATACAACCTCTCGGGATTGTCATTTTGTGCTCAGCACAACTTCCTGGAGGTTCATCCAGGCTGTTGAATGCATCTGTGGTTGGTTTCTTTTGATTGCTGAGTAGTATTCCACAGTGAGAGTGTGCCAGTGTTTGTAAACAGCCACCACTGATGAACACCTGGGTTGTTTCTGGTTGGGGCTATTATAAGCAAAACTGCTGTGAAAATTCACGTGAATCCCCTACTGATGTAAATATTTGTGAATGAGGTAAAGCGGTATCTAGAATTTGCTTCAAAAAATAAAACCATCAGAGGCTGGGGTCACAGCTTAGTGGCAGAGTGTGTTTGGTATGCTCAAGACTGTGGCCCAGAAGCAAGATAAATGACTAAATAAATAAGATGGGTCATGAGCCTAAGTGCATTCTATTATCTCCACTTTTATACATGTTTCAAAACTTTCAAGATGAAAGGCTTTTAAAAAGAAAACAGAAAATGACTATCTGACCACCACACACCTGCACACATGTCTTCAAGCAAAATCTTTTCCTAACCTTGCCCTGTTAGCCAGCGCCTTCCAACGCTGGCTCCCGTAATACTCGCTCTGCTGGTTGAGGCTTCTGTTTCCTGTCTCCTGCAGGCTCTGCATAGACTCAGGGATGGGATAATACCGAGTCCTACGGGCGGACAAAAGCTGGTGAGTAATCACCACAATCAAATGCATGAGATGCGTGAGTGGCTTGTCTTCCAAAGAGAGGGTTTGCGTCTGCCTCGAGCAGGCCCTCAGCATCCAGACAGACGATGCTGCCGGGACACAAGTGCCATCACAGAGGATGAAGAGCAGCAAACTGCACAAGCACAATCAGGCCTCGAAACGAAGGGAGATGCACCCTGTATTGTGCAAAGGCTGCCTTGTTTTTAAGCCAATCTGGAGGACAGGATGTTATTATCATGTTCAGTCTGCAAGCTAATGATTCTGTAGTATAATTTTGCAAAATGCTGTCTGCTGCGCAGCACCACCAACATGCTATCGGCTTATTCTCCTCCGGGGCTATGTGACACACTCACTCTCATCCTATTAGGACACCCTGTTTATTTTCCATACAGGGTCCTACACAAATGAAAACCCATTCTTCCAAAGATAGGATGCACATGACAAGGTGTGGACACCAACCCGTTAACTTGAAGGGTTAAAGACCAGGAGCTTCAAGGAAATGCTGATGATGACTTTCAAATGCCAAATGGAGCAAGGCAGCCATTGAGCTGCTCGTGATGGTCTTCACATGTCACATTAAGTGACTCTGACCCTTAAACAGAGTTTCGGACTGAGTGCGACTCTAATCCCAGATCAGATCCAAATAAGACAGACGAATTCCCTAGCACCACCTACGTTTTATAGTATAGTTGTATTAGTTGGGTTACATCAAACATCTCTCCTATTAAGAGAGCCTCTGCTTTGGCATTAGTAAGAGAAACGCTTACGTGACCTATACTACTATGATTCTATGGTAAGCAGGAAAACCCAGCCCACTCCCAGGCCTCTATGCTGAAACACTAAAGTTCTACTAAAAACAATCAATGTACACACTGGTTCGCTTGTTTAACAACATATGGGTCGTGGATGGAAAGAAATCTATTGATGACATCAGATTAGGAAACTAAGATAATACAATTGAATTCTAAATCCCATTCCTATGCCCTGAGGCAGAGCAGAGGTAGCTGCAGGCTGGCCCTGAAGAGGTCAGTGACAGAGCTACTAGTGAGCAAAAAGAGGCAAAGGACAAGAACTGGACTGAGAAGCATAATGGGAAAAATAATAGAGAAGAAGGTGCTAAGGCTGAAGTTAAATGAATACACACACACACTATGCATATATGCTCTGAGTGATCTCTTCTTTTATCCTCTGCCATCTTCCCCGACTCCTATGATCAAACATTTTCTGTCCTGCAGGCTCCAGGTCTACACAGGAGTTTCGGACCATTTGTGGTCACTGGCCACGCACCGGAAGCCAAAACACTTACCACTCAAATCCATGACCTCAGAGGGTAATGTAAAATTGATTGCGAAAAACATGATGCTCCTGAGAAAACCTTCAGGTCTGCTTTGCTTGTATATCACATTCCTGTTCTTTGTAACAGCTACACCCGCCTGGCCTACCAAACTGGGATTTCAGAGAGAGCTATTTTTGTAAGCTGTGGTAGTTTCAGAAAAACGAGCATATGAGAGAAGTAGGAAATAGAACACAGACGGAAGGCATTAACTCTGAAAGATTTCCAAGAATGAGCTGCACAAGATGGGGACAGAGGCACTGGCAGTTATGCTCAGCAGGGGCTGTGCAGGGTGGAGGGGCAGAGAGCAGGCCTAGAAGGGGAGGAGAACAGGTAGGAGCCGCCACTGAGGCTGGGGCAGGGAAGCCGGGAGAGCAGGCCACTGGCCCTGGGCAGTCACTTGCTAGCAAGGAGCAGGGCTGAGCTCAGAATAGCAGTGGTTAAGAAGTGGTTAAAGAAGCTGTCACAGAGGCCAGGGGCGAGGAAAGGAGCAGTGTGAGGGGCAGTGTGAGCAAGCTGAGAGCTAACTCAGTCCTCCTCGAAAACCTAGAAAAGGTCACCTGCAGTCACTACTGAAGCACTGTTTATAAGGAGTGAAGGAGTCTCTGTTGATTAGGAGAAAAATTGCCATTATGATGATCAAACACATGGCATGAAAATTCTAATGGCTGATAAACTCATTTTTAGAGGAAGCTTTCATTAAGGTTCATAGAGGCCTGGAAAAAAATGGTTTTTGATTTAAGGCAAAACTGTTTTTAAGAAGAACATGATTGGTTGCAAGGTGATATTTTTCAAATTCTACAGTGATTAACTGCTGACTTTAGCAATGTGGCAATAATGACTTATATGATTGACAAATTTATTAGTTCTGCTTTGCAGATCTGTTTTTTTATATCCCCTTTTGCTGATTGATTTACAAACTTATTACTAATCCAAAGTTCAGTGTCTCCATAATTGCAACCTCACAGACAACACAACCTGAAGAAACTAGTGTATGCCAACTCAGTTTCCATTTTCATTTCTGGAATACAATTTAGCTAAACACCTACTAGAGCCCAGTCACTGCACTGGTGCTGGACTTGGTGGCTAAAGAAAAGTTAACCCTCAGAGGGACTCACAAAATAATGGTCAGGACAGATAAGAAGCTTTTAAAGAAGTCATCACATAACTCATTTGAAATGGAGATAAGCACCATGAAAGAAAATTATAAGGTGCTATGAAAGCTTAACATCAGGACGCCACAAAAGTGTGAGTCAGGGAAAGCATTTTCAGGGAAACTCTGAGCTGCAGTGGTGGAGGAGGAGGAGAGGATGGGGAGCTGGATGCAGAGAGGCCCGGAGGGGAAGAGCCCCACCGGGAGGTGGGAGGTGGGAGGCACAGAGGCACTGACCTGCTGGGTGATTGTGTCCCAAGGCCCCTGCAGCAGCCGTGTCTTATAGCACTCGTGGACTCCGTCCCAGATGTCCTGCAGGGTGAGAGGTCTCCCGTCTATAAAAGGCATTAAAAGACAGAGTTAGTGGCCCATGAGACACAGGGTGCTTGGCGCAGATCCAAAAGAACTAGAGGAGGATTCCAGCTTTTTCAAAAATATTTACCAGTTCACACAATACTTACATAGCATGAGAATGCAGTGTGAACTTCTATTTTCTTCTTGAGAGAACATTAAACACTTAAGCTTTTCTCCTTTGTATCCCTAGCAGTTAAATCATCTACTCATTCATTGTCTCTGGGAGCTTTACTAACTACATAAAGCCAATGTATCTCACAGAGAGCTCATGACACTAGCCTATGCAAAGGACCGGAAGTCTCAAGGCCCTAATGCTTTCTCTGTTTCTGAAAACAAAGAGACCATACTCATGCTTCTCTCACTGCCCTGCTGATGCAGGAGTCCCTAGCTGGGTAGCATGGATTGCACTGAGAAGGAAAACACATAACGCCAGGAGCCCCCCACCTAGGAGGGAAACCCTGACAGGTACATGAATCCTAAAAGTGGTAGGCAGAGAGGGGTTCCAGCTAGAGGACCACATGGTCCCCTGCCACCCAGAGGAGGGAGATGACAGCACCCAGCATCTGTGTGGGATGGAGAAGGGCGCTGCTTGGAGGAGGAACACAACCAAGGGTTGTCAGGAATAGATTAGAAGAAGCTTTAGTAAACAGTAATTCTTATTTGCATAAGCAGTTTTAATTAACCATCTATATGTAATAACCATCCAAACAATGTATCTTATGACGATCACTATGGCACTAAAACATAAGAAAAGTAAACAGAAAACACAGGTATCAAAGTGCTAGGAAGCAGGAAGTAGAAGTTATCAAAAGCCTTTCAAACACACACACTACTAGAAAAAAGGCATCTAAATGCTTGGAGTTAGGGCTGTTTCATTCACTCAGAGCTATCAAATCCGCAAGACCTTTGGGCATGCCCTTTTCCATTGCAAATGCACACTATTCCACATGAATTAAAGAGAATGCACCATTAGATCTAAGATGCATTTGGTCATCAAGTGCAACAAAACTTGGGGAAATAATCTCAAAATTCCAAACTAAAAACCACTGTGGTATTCAGACTTGCAGGTTATAAGTAGACACATACAAGGTGCGAGGGTAAAGCCCCTGGTTTACAGCCCAGACTAAGTTAAACTTGAGGCTTGGCAATTCTCTCTGTATGCCTGAGAGTTACTCTGCTTTTAACTTAACCTGTAAAATGAGGATAATCCTTTCAAAATTTGTTCCCGTGAGGATTACATTTAGCGAACGCACCCAGGACTCTGCCAGGCAGTAAGAGCTCAGGAAATACCAGGTGTCTCCTCCCTGCTGCCTCCATCACCGCCGTGAGTCTCGGAGCTACACCGCACACATCGCACACTCTGTCTTTGATACCACCATATACTAATCACATAAGCAGAGCATTTCTCATGTTTGCCCTGGCAAGTTGAACTTTTCCTCAAGCTTTATTTTCAATAAATAGCAACAGAATATTTTGATACATTTTCAATAAGTATCTTCATCTTGGCATTTATCTGGTGGCAGGAGACCATTATCTTGTGATAAATAGTTTTATTCCACTGACATTTCCATGTCTGTAAAATGAACAAGATTTATTCACCCAATTAACATTTGAATGTCATGTTTCTGCTACAAGTCAAAAACAAGCTGCCTTCAGTAGTGGTGTTACATTGTTTTCAGAACACATTTACAGAGTAGGGTCAAATTCTGCTTTTCAAATACGCATGTGCACAGGTGAGTGTGCGAGTACACATGTGTGTGTTAACGTTGGAAGGGGATAATACAATCATAAATACCTCATGCCAAATAGTAAACTATTACAAAAAGATGAAGGCTTTCAAAATAAATTTTATTGTCGAAATCAAGTAATGAGAAAATAAAAGGTTGGAGCTCATAGAACTACTAATTTTATATCAGGGCAACCCAGGTTTTGGGAAATACAAATCTCCAAAACTATGTAGCTGGCTCAGGACCAAGCTGAAGTTCAAACTCAGGTTTCAGGTCCCATAATTCAGGGCTCTTCCTGCTATTCTGGGGGCAGAGGCACTGGTAATCCTGTTTGAAACATGTACTGAAAAGATGGGAAATCAAAGAACGCTCTCCTCAACACTAGTTCCTTTAAGACAATGACAGCTTTTCAGACTTAGAGGAGACGCTTGGTTTAACAGCTGGAAATCGGTGGTGCTTTTGATTTTGCTTCTTAGAATATCTCTGTCGACCATGTGGAGAATACGGTTAGATGTCATCTGTGCTCTCTCGGTGACATTCATACAATGCTAAGTAATAAGCCGACATGGAGAGACCCCTACACAGCCATACTGACTTTTTTATCGGTGGGACACTAAAGCTGACATTACGAACCACAAGTTCTCAGACATATCAGGTCTAGAGAAATGAACGCTTGTCAACCTAGAGTAACAACGGAGTTAAAAATAGGTTAAAAGCATAAGAACTAAATGCAGTTTTACTTAGATTGCAAAAATACTTAAAATTTGTAGCTTTTCCATTTTTTAAAAAACTAGCTTTTCAGGTTTTTAAAAAAGGCAGAATCTGTTGTAGTATTACATTCTTCCTACATCATTTAATAAAAACCGAGAGATTAGCATAATGTATTTCTTTCTGTGTCCCTTTGGTTTTAAACTTGATTCTAAAACTCACAGTACAGCGTGTTGTGGTGTAACTCCACTCGCAGTATGGAGTATTGGGGAGCAAATACTCACACGCACAAGGTCCCGGGTTCCATCTGCAGCATGCAAAAAATCTATAGTTAGGAAAACTGTTTTGTTTTGTTTTTTGAGGCAGGGATTTGATATGTAGTTCAGATGGTCTCCAACTCACTAGCACAGGCTGGCCTTGGACTCATGGTCATCCTTCTGCCTCAAGTTCTCAGATTCCAGGCATGTGCAACTGGCTACATTTTTTAATAATTAAAAAGATTGAAACATCACCCTGCTTTCACTCTCCACGCAGTGCTGCAAAATCAAATCATTCTACATTGCTTGCTCGTTCTCAACCTTATGTCTCATCATGAAAATACAGTCTGTTGTTATATTCTAAAGTTCTCTGGGGTCTCTGTTTTCTGTCACATCACTGCTCTATGGGGGTTCAAATCCACGCCCCCACTACCCACCAAGACAGTTTTCCTCAATCCTCCAGGCTCCTGTGCTTGGTCTCTGCCCCTGCTGGTTTCAAACACAACGGGATGCAACTTCTCTGCTGGGTACCGTTTTCTAGTTCCCCTCCTCCCTCACATAAGGTCCAGACATTGGGAGACCTGGCCCTGCTGACTGAGCTATCCCCACCATTCCTCCCTTGGTTACAGTGGCAAATCCACTCCACCTCATGCTCACACAAACCAGTCACTCCTTTGCGCTGTTTGGCCTTTTTTATAGCAAGTGTCTCTCCAGGAAATTATTGTGCTTTCCTCCATATTCATCATTTCCTGCCTTACCTAACTAGCAGGGAAGTTTTGAGGAAATAGACCTTGTTCCCCTCTACCTGGGGCACAGTCTGGCACACCAGAAATGGTCAGTAAAGACTGGAAGATGGAAACGTACTTTCTTCTATGCAGTACTATGAGGTAAATGTTTCCTATCTGGGTAAAAAGTCACCATTATGATTTGCTGTGATGTGCTATTGTACAAAGATGGTGCACAACCACATAAGTTTCCTCTGCCGTCGTTCATTTAAATTATTATGGAACAATACCCAGCTCAGTGTAGTCACAAATGAGCTATGGCTATTTCTCTTCTTTTTGATTATTTTCTCTTGATAAATTCCCTTTAATGGAATTACCAAGTCAAAATGAAAAATAACTTTTAATTCACAATAGAGAAACTAGTATCTTATCACATCAAGATTCTCCCAGTGGTAATGAGATAAGAAGTAAGTAATTTTAGAAAGAGATAGCTGTATAATTTGGTACCGCGCATGCCAAACATAGTCCTAAGCCTTTGTGATACATTAGTGAGCAAAACAATGGTTGTGTGGAGGTTACCTTCTAGCTGGGCTGGGACAAGGATGCTTCAGTAACACAGAATGTGATAAAGGAACACACTGCATCATGTATTAAGAAGCAATATGTACTATGGTAACAAGGCAAAGACAGAGGACTAAGGAGTACTGGCCATGGGTGGTTTCCAAATTTTGACCTCACTGAGTAAGTGACTTGTGAGCAAACCCTGGGAAGTGTTAACGATTCAGACAGCTGCCAGAGAGAGGGATATGTGTCACAGGGAGAGCGAGAGTGAGCCATGGAAAGGCTACAGCACAGCAGGTTGGGGGAGACTCCTGCGCACTTCAGGGAACACAAAGCAACTAATTTAAACACACATGGATGTAATAAGATGTAACTCACACATGTACAAATGTGTTTAAAATGCCTCATCTCAGCCAAGATGGCTATGACATCCTGGGAAAGGGAAGAGTTCAATAAAAAGTGACGATAATTTTAAGTATATATGCAATGAATGTCCATCTGTCCCATTTCATAAAGTAAAAACTATTGGACATAAAAAGACAGATATACAAACATACTACAGGCATAAATACGCTGCTGACACTAATACAGCCACAGCAGGGAATTTCACTACTCCACTCTCACAAACAGACAGGTCAACCAGACAAAAAATTAACAACAAAAAAACCAGAGTTAAACCACACCATTGAACACACAGTTTTAACAAATATCCTCGGAGTGTTTTCTCCAAAGACAGAATACATACTTTTCTGAGCAACACACTGCACTTTTTCCAAGATAGATCTTGTCTTAGGCCATAAAGCATGCCTAAATAAATATAAAAGAACTGGACTAGTTACCTGCATACTGTTGGATCACCATGAAATGAAACTAGAAATGAATAGCAAAGAAAACACAGAAGCCTGCAAACACATAGAAATTAAATAATATATTATTAAGAATCAGTGAGTAACAGAAGAAATCAGTGAAGAAATAAAGTTCCTAAAATCAAATGACAATGAAA